GTCTCGGGCGCCAACACTGCGAGACCGCTCCCCGACTGGCTTGCTCGACGGCGGAAACGCAGTTTGAAAGCCGATCCTGAATTCCAGAACCGCATAGAGCTCCTGCAGGACTTCTCCTTCGAGGAGGCGAGTGCCTGTGTCCAAGTCTCCGAGGACAACAACTGGATCGTCTCGACGGGAACCTACAAGCCACAGATCCATGTTCACTATCTGCCACACCTGTCCCTGTCGTACGCGCGACACACGACGAGCCTCAACATCAAGTTTACCCTGCTGTCGACCGATGCGTCCAAGTCCCTGCATTTACAAAGCGATCGCCGTGTCGAGTTCCACACCCCTGCCGGTCTTCACGAGACCATCAAGCTCCCGAGATACGGTCGAGATCTTTGCTACGACCGTCTTGCGACCGAGGCCCTAATTGGATCCGTAGGCCTGGGACCCGAAGGCCATGGAGAGGTTTTCCGGTTCAATCTCGAGGCGGGGAGATTCATGCAATCGTACAGAGTAGATGTTGGGAGTGATAGCGGTTCCGAAGTTGGGCTCCAGGGTAGCAGTACGCATTTCAATCTCTCGCCCCCTTTCGGCAGGTCCGGAGTTCGTTTTCCCGTGTACTCGCGAGATCTGGGCTGCATTCCTGTTGTTAACTCTCTTTTGCATAGTTTGGGCGCCCGCCGTAAACTCTATAGCGGTCGCAGAGAACACACATAATCTCCTCGCATTCGGGACTTCAATTGGTTCCGTTGAGGTAATCGCTGTCCCTAAACCTCTCGCTGGTCAATGACTGACAATGGACTAATAGTTCTGGGACCCTCGTTCTCGTTCTCGCATTGCTGTTTTGGGGGGGCAGGAGGGCGAGATCACAGCTCTTGATTTCAATGATTCAGGGCTTTCGATAGCCACGGGAAGTTCCAGTGGTGTGGTCAAGCTTTTTGACATGCGAAGTCCTAAACCGCTCTGGCAAAAAGATCACGGCAGCGGATTCCCAATTAAAAACCTCATACATATGACAACTTCTTCATCAGAGCGCAAGATATTGTCTGGCGACAAACAGCTTATCAAAATCAACGAGGAGTCCACTGGGCAAACCTGGACGAGCATCGAGCCAATCGTCGATCTCAATTATACGACTTGGGTCAAGGGAACTGGGATGATTCTCACAGCTAATGAAGGCCAGGCGATGCATGCCTTTTTGATCCCTCAATTGGGCAACGCGCCGCGCTGGGCCGCACATCTTGACTCTCTGACAGAAGAGATGGCGAGCGAGGTGACAACAGACAACTACGAGAATTACAAGTTCTTGACGCTACCCGAGCTGAGATCTCTCAGCATGGACCACCTAATTGGCAAGACCAATTTGCTGCGACCCTATATGCACGGTTACTTCGTTGCCTCCAAATTATATGAGCAAGCTCGATTAATTGCCAATCCATTTGCTTTCGAGGAGGAACGTGCCAAACGCGTCAAGGAGAAGGTCGAGAAGGAACGGGCCAGTCGTATCCGCGGCAATAAAAAGGTCAAGGTTAACCAGAAACTTGTCGACAAGCTGCTCAAGCGACAGGAGAAGCGAGCCAAGGTTGATACAAACGCCGGTATTCTCGGTGACGAACGTTTCAGCCGTATGTTCGAGAATGAAGAGTTCCAAATCGATGAGAATAGTCGAGAGTTCAAGGCACTCAACCCAAGCACACAAGTTGACCCTGAATCCGGTAAAACCATTGCTCCTACGCATACCTTCTCGGAGGAGAGCGACGAAGGTAGCGGCAGTAGTAGCGACGAAAGCAACGACTCTGAAGACGTACCTCGGAAGAGGAGAGACTCGGTTGTCATGCGTGTCAGCTCTTCAAATCAAGAGAGCGGGAGACGGGATCGAGATACAGCATTCGGGTCTAGAACCCAAAAATCAAGCCGTCCGACGAAAGCTAGAGGCGGTGATGTAGTTGGCGACAAAGAAATCACGTTCGCACCAGAGCCGAAAAAGAAAGAGAAGATGGACCAGCCCATAGCATCAACATCAGAAGAGAAGCGGTCCGCGGTAAGACGCAGTGCTAGCGGAAATGTTTTAAGGCGAATTTGATATGCGGTCACTCCATATAAAAAAAAATATAAAAATATTGGGATGGGGACTAGAACCGGTTCCGTCTCTCGATCCATGCGTCCAAGACAAAATTACAATACCCATCCAGCAAGTTCGTTGAGTGTCCCATCATCTCCCTTCCCATGTGTCAATTCGCAGATTTACTTCTTCGTCCATTTCTTTCCCCGTCCTTCAGAAACTTGTCGGAAACCCGCTTTCGCAAGCCCCTTTTCAACATCCTCGGATCGAAGTTTAGGTGTTGGAGGCACGTCGTCGAGGCGAACACGTCCTCGAGACGACCTGCCCGATGACTCTTTGACAGATCTGGGAAACTCTGTTCGACGAGGTGTCAAAGCGGTGACCACCTTTCTTGCCGACCGCCTGATGCTCTCCCGGACCTTCCACTCCCTCTTCTTGGCTAGGTAGAAAAGTACAGCAGTTGAGACTGTACATAGTCAGCTATGGGGATGCTTTTTCGTAAGGTCTGAAATGAGATATACTCACTGCCGAGAACGACAACACCTGCCACCACGACAATGATCGCAATCAATGCACCATGAGATAGCTGAACAGCTCCGGGGCTCGAACCAGCGGCACCCGCAGAGTCATCAATGGCGCCAGCCGGAGCGCTACTTCCCGCGTATGGATCATCTGTCGCTAAGGGGAAGTCTGCGGTATTGGTGGCCATGGTGAGTGTTATAAACTGAACCAGCGTAGTAAAAGCGTTCTTGGTCTTAATTAATAGCACACCGGCTAGCGATGTCAATTCCTCGTAGGATAAGAGGGTAAACGGGAAGAAATGAAGAACCGGACTGTTCGCAAGCGAGTGACAGCGCCGACAATACCTTATTAATCGATAATGAACGGCGGGGGGGAGAGGGCAGACTCAACTGCTCGTGACAGGCATTCGGGTGAAGAGATGTGATGGGTTGTGCAGGGCAGACTAGTATAGATATGTAGGAAGACTTGATTGATATCAGAGTTACCTTCGCACATTGCTGCCGGCATCCAAGGACCCCGACAGCAATCCCCCCAAACCCCCATTGGGTCTGCAGGTACCAGATCTATGAAACCCAAGACAACCAAAGCGTGCCCTATTTTCATATCATTGGAGACGGAAGCGCCCAGATAGCAGCGCTTCCAACGTTTGTTGCCGCAGTGGGCCAATCAGAGGCCCGGGACTGGGGTGCGCTGGTCTTGGCCGCTGCCCAGACACCTGTCTGTCACATCTGTCGCTGGCGACGGCTACTGGCGTGATGAGTTTGTTCCATGTCGTCGATCCGTCCGTCTAAAATAAAAAAGCCTTTGCCGTTTGCGATAAGATGGGTTATATAGGTGACAACTCAGGTATGCATTATAGTGGGTAGGTAATATAAGATTCCGATCACGGAAAGATAAGTTGTTCTCAGCAAAAATGAGCAACAGCTACCTTAGGTACCTACCTACTCCAACTCTATATACTCTTTCGCGTCGACGATCTTATCCGCCTGAAATTATTACTAGGCTTTATATACCGCTTGCTAGACTGGCTCTAACGTTGAGTTTGTCACTGTCTATACGATAAACCCAGGTATAAGAAAGAGTATTTTATTATATTAAGTAAGTGTAGAGTGGCCGCATTTTCTTCAGCCACGATGCATACCCCCGACATACACGGCCTCATCTACCGCCCATGAACCCAGTTGCTAGCGAGCCGTGGACTTAATTATAGTACATAGTATAGATGGGCCCAAACACAGACCTGGAGAAATCCGTTGCGGCGGACTCTCATGCGGAGCCCCGCGTCGTAACTGATTCGCCCGCGCCGATGGGCTCGACTATCTTGAGACGCACCGTGATCTAGCATCGTATTACCTATCGCAGGATGCTCTTTTTTTTTTTTTTCTTCTCGAAATGTGTGGGTGAGCATGTGCTACCTACCTATAAGCAAGGTTTTTCGCTATTTTTTGTGTGTGGATGTTGCAGGTCGGACTGGTTGGGGCTTGTTGGTGATGAAACGCTGGTCGAGCTTCGACGCGTTCGGGCTTAGGGCCGTATTGAACACGATAAAGGTGACTAGTAGGGGAGCATAGATGTTGTGTCTGCGGCCAGCGTGGATGGTGGAAGATCGGGTACGTCATCCATCTCTTCCTCATTCTCATTCTCATTCTCGTTCTTTACATCATCGGTCTAAGAAGGATGCAGGCAAGGCCTCCGATAGTGAGGTTGAGATCACTCACACGTATACGGTACCTCCTCCCAATAAAAAGCCCTTGAACAGATCCGCAGCGACCTTCGGCGCAAAGGATAGCTCTTCAGAAGAGGCAGTGAAGATTACTACAGAACCAGCACTATTTCCCTTGGGCCAAAGATCAGCCAAACCTCTAGCAGGTAGGAGGTGAAGCCACAGGTGGCAAGCTTGTCGGATCTGTCAAATCTCAATGATGCTTGGGATAAAGAGTGTTGCCAGCCCACCTAGCCCCGTTCGCTGCCAGGTTCTCCCGGCCCGTAGCTTCTGATCAGGTATAGCCAAGGTAACTAGCTATTTCTATAGCTTTGGTGAATTACACACGTAGTAATTAATGATTCTAGGCCTGGGCTCAGCCCTGTTGCCCTGGTTGTCTCTCAGAACCAACAAAAGCAAGACTGTAATCGGTATTAAGGGGCGCCAGTATTATAAGCACATTTTGTTGTAGAGCATATTGAAGCGCCTATGAACTTATTCACCATTGCGGGAAACCTAGATAGTGCAAATAAGGTCTTGACGTCCGTAGATCATTGATTGTTGATGTCACTGTCTTTCTTAGGTGTGGAGGAAATACTTCGAGTCGGCCTGGTGCTAATCATATACCTTTTAGCCATTGACGCTGTAGAAGATTTCTATATATACAATGCTCAAGCAGCAATACACAATCAACCACCCTTCCTGATATGGAAGAGTTAACCCGCTCGGTTAGCTCAGTTGGTTAGAGCGTCGTACTAATGTTATGAGAGATTATAACATTAGTAATGCGAAGGTCATGAGTTCGACCCTCATACTGAGCAATCTTTTTTTCTTTTTTCTTTCTTTCCTTGATCCCGTTCACATCCCAGCAATTAAAACCAACCACGATCTATATGGCTCGGGGAGGGACTCGCTCAAACTTAAAGATGATTGGAATCGTTTTTAGTTCGTGAAAGTATTAAATTATCAGTGTGATCAAGACATATATATACGCACCTTAGCAGGCGTCTTGATCCTATAGGTGGGCAAGTGTTGACCCATATCAGCAGTTATTGTCTCGCTCGCAGATAAGGCTTGCAAAGCGTAGAAGGCGTCATATCCTGGTGGTTCTATCCAGAGTGGTACTTACATGCAAGCACCGAGAGATTTGATGCAAGCCATAAGAGCAGTCATTCAGACGGCGTGTGTCATTGCCAATCTTCATATCACCAACTAGCCATTTCAACTGAACGACGAGCTGGAGTTAGCCAAATATCAAGTCTCCTGCTGCATGTCATCTAAACCCCTGCTTACGATTTAATCTACCTGGCTTGTGCACATGCAGCAATAACAATGCTCGTGTGCTAGCCGGAAAGCTGAGAGGTTGCCATCTTCAAGAGCAAGTAGGCAGCGCCAAAGATTCTCTTTTTTGTAGTTGCCGAAACGTAGCACCTAGGTACCAGACGGGAAATCCAATTGAATGACGACATTCTGCTTGGCGGTTTCGTCGTTAAACTTGATTTCATGTTTGAAAGCAACGTGCGGATGGAAGCTCATGAAAGTTATACTGTTGGTGAGTAGCAGATGATGAACCCAGTGTTGGAAGGAGCCAGATTCAAAGACCACATTTCCATATATACCAACATCAGCATTCTGGTAATATATTAAGAGCTGTAATGTTGCTTATACTGTTGTGTTCTCAGCCTTACGTGTGAATGCCCTACGACCGTCCAAAATCCACGCTGAGAACATTGGCCGAACATTAGATATATGCTTTGTGTTCAACTCCTTATGTGTTAAGTAACAGAAACAAGATCCCGAAGAGTCCTGGCTGATTCCTGGAGTACTGGCTAGCCCCTTGGGTGTTTAACTTACATGACAGGAAGCCGCATCCATGGTTATAGGGAAAGGTAAGCGTGCCTTCCATGTCGAGATGGTAATACTCCCGAGGTCTCCAGGCTCTAGGCACACACTGTGATTTTCAGGCCCCCTCTTTGCCCACATTTCTCTAATCTGCTTCGGAAGCTGGTATCTGCATTCATTAACCTGTCCATTACCCTGCGTTCTGAATGGTCACAGCCTCAAGTAGTGGTATTGTGAGCTTTCTCATGGTCTCGAGTATCCCTAATTCAAACCCTTACGGAACAGGAGTACCAGCAGCTATTATTCTACTACCTACTCTAATAGCAACACTTTGCGCAGCCACCCATAGGCGCTTCATCAGATAACGTTACCACAGGCGTCGAGGCATTCCTAAAACCCATTACCTCCTGACTCTCTCTACCGTTCGAATTCGATTCTTATACTCACATAGCCCTTCAGAAACCCCTCACACAATGGCAACAGAACATACTGGTAAGCCCAGTCCGAAACTGCATCGGTTTAAGCAATTCGGGCATCAGATAGACTCGCAAGCTTCCGGTATTATCGAGTCGAACTTCATAGCTCCGCTTGAAGATTCTCAGGAGACACAGGATGTCGCATCTGACTGGCACGATAATGATGGTGGCCATGAAACAGACGTGATAAATCAACCACCACAGTCGACGAAAGGCCCGTTCATCAGTCGTCCCCAGCGCGAGGATCTCCTAGATTTCCAAAATGGTTTCCAGTATAGCAAGGCACCAATTCCCCAGAGCTTGCCGGCTCAGCCAAGTACACCCCCAAAAGGGATGCCCCGCCAGAGCGGCTCGAAGAATGACGGTGTCGTACGAACAGGACATCAGTTTCGTGGCACTGATCGTCCGACCGCCTCCCGCCTCTTTCATGATGCGAGAGATATATGTGCAGCAGGGACTCAAGTTAGCGAACCGCCGCCGAACACGAAGGAGAAGACACATGATGCAGTTTCGATTGATAGTGATGCTCGTTCTGATAGCGCCATGTCCGGAAACGACCGCGACGAAAAGCGAGGTCGCGGTACTGTCCAAGACGATCCAACGCTAAGGCCGCCATTCCAGATTACTTCTCCTCTCAGCAAGATATCCGCCCCCTTTCAACGTCCTAAGGGGAATATCCACTCTCCGGCCGCCAAATTGGGGGAACCTAAGCTTTCGAAGGCTTTTTCAGACATTCAACGTAAAGCCCTCATTCAATCGACTCACACGCATTACCATGCCAAGTCTCAAATCGACAAAGTGTCCCCATCTATGTTCAATAAACCAAAGTTGCACCAAGATGCGACGGATATCCCGGAGCTCTCTAATACGCGAGCGAGGCAACATCAGGAACAGCTCACTTCAGATTACGCCTTGAATCGACCCCCAGCGACCCCAGAAGGCCAAATCCTAGCTGCAGTACAGGCATCACGAAACAATCGATCTAATACTGCGAGAATGACTCGCCCATATACCCGATATGAGGACGAGGATTACAACATGCGTACACGATCTGAATCGCGAGCTTCAAACATATCCAAGTCACGGGCGCCCCCAATGCTGAAACACAAACCCAGCCAGAGAAGACAAGCGAGCCGAACCATACAGGAAAGCAATGCATACCGCCAAAAGCTTGCTGAGTCTTGGAACAGGTACTTTGTTCGCGAAGACTCTCAAAAGAAACACTGGGAGAAAAAGATGGAATATATGGTGAAAGAACTTGCCGAAAGAGATTACAGAATTGCCGAATATCTTGCGAAGATCCAAAACCGGGATCAAGTGATTATGGATCTCAAAACTGCGAATGAAGAGCAGCATACCATTTACCAGAAGCAAGAGGGTGTCCTGGCCGAGTTGGAAAAGCGACGACAGGGCCTACAAGGCAAGATGAAAGAATATAAGAACCACCTCAATGACTCTACTAAAGAGCAGCAAGACATCTTCAAGTATTTCCAACCAAGATATCATGAGATGAGAGAGCAGATAAGACAGGCAGAGCATAACCACCAGAGTTCACTTGAGCAAGCTCTTTCTACAACTGATAAAATCAGGGACAAAATTCGGAAAAGTGTAGAAGAGGTCCGAACGCTCTCCCAAGAGGAAATACAGAAACGTAAGTTAGGTGAGTTACGATTACTTCCATGGCTAACCTGTCCTAGTGCGTATAGAAATAGTAACTCTCCAAGAGAAGTTAGCAGCGCGCGAAAATGAGGTTGACACGAAGAAGAACTATATAAACGATCTTCGTCAAGAGCTAAAGGAGTCACACGAAATGAACAAAGATGCACTCAAGGTTCTGAACACGCAAAACCAAGAGCTCATGAAGACGAGCAATGAGGGAACTATTCAGGTCCAAAACATAGGAAAACGTCTGAACCAGCAGGGACTGGAGTGAGTAGGATGGCGCACTGCAAGCCAGGAAATGACGCTAATATGGCCAGGATTCAATCATTGTTGGAACTCCTGGAAAATAACAGAGCGAACACAGTGAGCCATTCAGAGTTGGCGCAGAGCTTGAAAGCTCTACAAACGGAAGTATCAGACTCGTAAGTAGCTAAACCATACCCTGAAAAACTGTGACAGGTTGATAATTGATCGTGGCCAGTGTTCTTTCGGAGTTTCGCAAACGTGCAGCATCAGATCGTGAGTTGTCTTCAAAGGCCACAATGGGTTTGAAAGCAGAAATTTTAGCCATCCACGAAGTGTGCACCGGCCTTGGCAAACAAATTCAGGACAAGCAAAGTGCTTCAGAATGGCGAGACAAATATGGGAAGGTCCAGATGGAGCACCAAATTCTGCGCAGCGAGATGGATCGGCTTGAGAACGAACTTATCAAGATGAAAGATGAAGCGAGAACACAACTTGACCAACACGAGGATCTTCAGCAAGAGCTTGCGACTCTAAGAGCCAGTGCTGAGGCTGCGGGTGAGGCAAAGAACCGAATCAAGAACCTAGAAGAAGTGAAACAAAAGATTCACGAATCGTTGGATGAAAAGGAAAAATGCATTAGAGGTTTAGAAGAAAAGTTGAGAAGCGCCGAAGAGGCTCTGAGCACTCGGAACCGTCAACTCGAGGATCAAGAGCGCCAGATCCTTGATGAACAAGAAAAGCATAAGCAGGCAATTGCGGGTTGCCTTGAACAACAAGAGCAGGCAGTTGAGCAAGCAAAAACCGAAGTGTCTGCAAGGGCTTGCGCGCAATATCAGACCGTCCAGAAGTGCTTGCAAGGTGCAGAGCAAAACTGCAGTCGACTTCAGCAAGAGCTCGTACAGGTCAAGCAGGGAGCTGAAGAAGCCCTAAGAAACAAGGAGGACGAATCCGCGAGGCAGATGCAAGAAACAATGGAACCGACAGTAGCCCGAATCGATGAGGTTCTGGACGGGCTGCAGGCATTGGAGCAAGAAAAAGGTGATCTGGCAGCGAGCTTGGAGGCATGGTCCAACGACCATATCGAACTGTCGCTGCTACAACAGGTTGTCCAGAAACTAGCCAAAGACCAGCAAACAACGATCGGAAACGGCAAACAGCTATGGGAGCTTTTGGATGTACAAAAGAAACTGGAAGGCACATGGCAATCCCACAGGTCGGAGGTCGATGCTATCAAGCGGGCTACCGAGTTAGAAAAGAGTATAAATGCCGAGAGGGAGAGAGAAAGTCGTCGTGGGCACAAAGGCAAGCGACCAACGAAGATATCACATGTTGCGAATCGTCGTGTTACAATCCAATTTCCGGGAGAAAAGGATGCTGACGATGGGACAGTGGTTCCTGTGTCGATTGAAGAGGAGCGAGCGACCAGAAGACAGGCCGCTTCACCTACAGGCATCATGAAGCCGGCCCTTCTTCAAGTTGAGGGACGATCGGAGGGACCTTATCACCAGACACCGCTTACCACAAAGGAGACCAGGGGGCGACCGGGGAGACGGGTCGCAAATCGTGGTGCGACACCGGCCTTAGTATCGCATAGT